GGTGCTGATGGGAAGAATATCAAAATGGGGATAGTTCCATTATCTATACTTGAAGCAGAGTTCTTTGCAAGAACTAAACTTTAACACTAATGAGGCCATAGCCTTAAACTCCCTGCGAATATTCTTCCCCAACTCTATCTGTGATACCATATAACAGCCGCTCATCACCATCATGGTTTCCGAAAATACACAAAATTAGTGCCATTACCACTCAGATGTCGCATGTGTAACTGATACTTTTCTAAACTTATAGCACTTCTACAAGGAGTGGATGTAATATCTTATGTTGACGACCAGCGAAGATGTGGATTACTAGCGAAGGTGATATTAAATGAAGTAAATCAAACTCTTAGAGTCGTGGTCGATGGAGTACAAATTGCTAGCGAACACGGTCCAAAAATGTTGGGGGTAATATTCGATAACATATTTACAAATTGCGAAATAGAAACAAGTTCCTCAAAACGGTAGCACTTGGGCTTTGGATAAAGAAACTTATACAAAACCATTGCTCGGTCAGTGGTTAATTATATAGCTCCAGTCTGGTCACCTTCGCTCAGTGGTACCCAGTGGAGACACATTCAAAGTTACGAAATGCTACCCTAAGGAATGTAACGGGCTTACAAATTACCTCGGATTATCAGCTACACTACAAGGAACACAACGTCATGTTGACTAATCAGTTCCTCCTGGGTTATCACAGGAGGAGTCATCTCAAGTTTAACATCAAACACAGTAAACGAAGAGTAGTTCTGGCACAACTAAGATCTGTATGCCTTGTGGTCAGGGTCTAGATGATACCAACCATATATTCAACTGCTAGCCAATCCTATTTCACTTTGTTCAATGACTGTACAGACACATTTTGTTAAGGTAGCACAATTTTTAGACCTAGACATTTATGCTAAACCCGCAAATAGATTCTATAATTTTTGTTGTTACAACAACACTCTTGACCAGAACCCTCAGATTACATTATTGTATAATTTTAGCTGTTGCAACAATAGTCCTAAAACCTGATATTGGAACATTCCCTTTGAACGTAAGTTAAACATTATTGAGAAGGGGTTTATAGTAATTTAATGCGTCATATTGTTTATACGATCACTATTTTAGTTCGTTAGAAAAAGAAAACTTTTGTATGAATTGTATTTTATAAAAACTAAACTTATTATTTATTTATAACAAAAACATTTAATACAAAATTTTAATTCTAATACTTTGTAAAAAATAAAATCTTTAAACTTTCTTTTGTTTAGCCAATTCAATATTCTGTTGCAACTTACTTAAGCAACCACGTATACGATTATCCTCTCCAGCACCACGTTTACCCTCTACAATGCGGATTTCATCCACTAAAAACGGCATTATATCCTCAATTAATGCATAGGAAATGGTACACACTTTCATCAATAGTTCAAAATAGAAAAACGTATGAAACGATAAATGTTTCTTGCATAAAATGCGTAAATGTTCTCTGAATAAATCCTTTAAAATGTTCGAATTCTTAAAAACCGCACTATGTATAATGCGTTTGAATAAATCTAAAAGCAAAGCTCGGCTAGGAACAATTTCATCGACCATCATTATATGCTCCAGGGTGGCTAAAGAGCTGCCTTTCATAAATGTTAGCAAACGTGTGGGGGAATTTTCATCGTCGGACTTTGATGCAATCGATTCGACAACTTCTTGATATATAGTAATAACTAAGCAAGCATTTGGATCAGCCTGACGCCTTTGTGTGGACAAGAAGAGATTTGTTAGTTTCTCAAAAACAAATAGGCTTAAATCATGATTATCTCCCTGCAGACAGTTGATGTAGGGTCGTGCCACTTGTTTAGCATTTGGGGAAATTTTAAAATGTGGCGTCCACTTCTGTATGAGATCCGTTAGAGTTTTATTTAAATAAGCATCAGATTTGAAATTTAAACGACCAATGCCTTGCACTACCACCGGCCATATTTTATGTATCAGTTGTGCCAATTTGCCTTCTGGCGCTTTACCCATTTGTATGCTAGTGGGTAAAATGTAACGTGTGATAGCTATATGAAAGAAACAGGTAATTTTCGATTTGGCATAAACAATGTGCGGGCAGTTAAAAATGACAATTGCAAGGAAACTATAAAAACGAAAGATCAATTCAGACTTCTCTAATTTAAAATCGGTATTTAGCCATTTTTCGAAATTGCGTATGTAAGAATTGAAGTTATTTGAAATTGTATTACGTTGGCCATAGTCGCTGGTGTTATCATACTTTTTACCAACAGCTGCTACAAAAATACATAAGGGCTCTTTAGCTTGAAGCAACTCCTCGGCATCAATATTTGTCATTGACGAGAATTCAGGCAATTTCACCACAATTTTTGTAAGTTTAGCCACATCTTCATTGCCAGCCGTCAACACCACTAAACTTTTGAGCCAAATTTGCATAATAGTAGTGTGATCTACAAGTGTATTACGATCAGATTCCAGAATTTTGAGTAAAAATTGCGGGACTGCTTGACGATTAACGGGCTGCTGTTCCGCAAAATAGTTAAACAATTTTTGAAAACTTTGCACGTCTGTTACCGCAAACGAATGAGTACAGAAATCGGCTGCTAAGGTTGGCAACCACTGGCTGTAATTATTGAGATACTGATGCTTGACAAAAGGTAGTATGGTGCTATTAAGAGCCTTTAGTAACTCGTTGTTTGCATCCAAAAATTGTTCTGTGCTTTGAATTTTAACAAATATTAAATGTATTGCTTCCAAAGTTCTGTCTTGTTCCACCGGTGTACAATTATTAAGGAAGTTGGGTATCCAAGAACCAACTAAAAGATGTTCACCTCTTTGAAATGTATCAGCATGATCAAATATATCCAATAGAGTGTCTGCCATAATCTTGGATACTGAGAGATCGTTACGTATACTTGTTAGTTGTTGCAAAAGTTTTATGGCATAATCCGTCAAATCGTATTGATGTTCGGCATATAGTATCCATAAAGCCATGTGACCTTTTGCCACAGCCACCTGCTTTGGACCTGTGACTTTTTCGAATGATATGGATAAAAGTTTATCTCGTAATTTGGTCGATAGATCACTAAAATCACCACAAAGGGATAACACCAAAAATAATTCTATTAAATGATGAATACCAGTTTCATTGAGCGTTAGAAATTTTTGTGTGCTAAATTTTGTATAGATGCGACCAAGTAGCTTCTGTGCCTGATGATTGGCATGACCTGACAATAATCTCTCCAAACATTTACCCATTAATAAAACGAAAAGTGTATAACTACTTAAATTTGCATCAGGAGGTTTATCCAATAAATTGCGATACTTATCAATATAGGCTCGACCACTATTGCAGGATACTGCCAAATTGCTGGGTGCTGTTCCCGCTATATAAAATGATGAGTTCAATTTCTTGTGAAAATGTTCCCACAGTATCATGGGAATGTTTACTTTGGGTTGCCACCATTGGAGTAGTGTGGGCGTTAGTAGGCAAATGAATATACGAAGTTGATCTTCGTTAGGATTTGCATTAAGAAATTGTTGTGTTGTACGCTCACAAAATTCAAAATTTTCTACAGCCTCACCAGTAGCTCTGGAGTAGTTTGGACCTTCATATTGACCGTTCGAGCGAAAGCCATGTAAACGTACTAAAGCGTGTAACATCCAATTAGAAAACTCACAGTAACTGAGGGTTGTTAGAGAATAATCATCTATGGGTATAAGAAAGATAAAACAGTAATAATCAATTGTTGTGAACTCTGAATGCAAAAATGCAAAGGGAAATTTCTTATTATAAAGAAACCTTATTCAATCATAATTCACATATTCCTACTTACCGATTTTTGATCTTATTCGCTCCATTGCTTTATTAAATAACGACCAAAATGTAATTTTTTCTTCGTCTGCTTTTCCACTTAAAGACCATTTTTGCAAGGAAAATTGTATAAGTAACCACACTTCTTTTACACAAGTACAAGGAAATGGTGAGGAAAATAACAATTCTGCTGAACGTTTTTTAGCATAAACAAATATTGAACATATTAATAAATCATTTACGATACGCTCGCATTGGCTTATGACTGAGCTGGAAGATTTTACAGAATTTTCTAAATTTGTTACAGAGTTTAAATCGTATTTATATAAAATACATAAATCTAAAAATTTCCATTCGAGTAGACCATGTAATAAATGATATGCTGGAATATTACATTCATTGCCTTTGCAACTATTGGCAAAGTACACAAGTTTTAAAATCTCCGTTTGTATACAATTATTCAGAAGTGCTCGAAGACGTGCAAGATGAGGCTTGAGAAAATTCCATTCATCTTTATGGGTAGTTTGGAGTATGACATGTAATAATAATGTAATTTGACGTCGTCTTCGATAAAATGATATTTCCTCATAGGCGGTTGCCAAGGGGCCCTGAACACTAGCTATTAAATATTGTACATTTGTGCTGGAAAGAGAAAATTGTATTGTTCTTCACCAGGCACATTGCGTGTCCTACTTACCAGGCCTCGCCAAAAACGAAACTAGTTACTGCATTTCCCTTTAGCTGTTGTTTTTGAAATTCATAAGAACTTAGTGTAACCTCTTCGATCGCTTTATTTTTATTTTCGAAATTATAATGCAAAAATGTATTTTTAATGAAGCCATCTAAAGAAAATTGGGCATTGAGTGAATCCTCTCCCTGACATTGAAATTCTGGTATAACGTCATTGCTTAAGGTATCGTTGGGAACTTGGGTTGGTTCAATATTAAGTGTAGACAAAATATCGTCATCTTCATCTGGTTCAAATAAATCAAAATCCATATTAATGTCTAATTATCTGTACAACAAATTAAAAAAAAAAATATTTAAATGCAAGAAAATGTAAACATAAACATTTTTTTTAAAACAGCTGACTAAACATTTTCGCGCTATTCGCCGTATGTTCAGTGTTAATCTAATTTTTTTGCTGGAATTGCCGGACTTGGTAAAATTTATGATGACATTCAAAGTAAATTTATAAAGTAGACTCAGTAGAACAGCTGACTATTTTTTTTAAAACTCACTTATGGACGAAAATGTCAAAATTGTTTACGTTGCAATTTTTGACAGCTTCAACCAAAGACTTTTATGTCAAATTATTTGCCATATTTGTTTTAGTGGAAAAAAATTAAATTGTGTGTTGTTTTATAAAAAATAAAAATAAAAGTGAAAAAACTTGAATTTTGTGTGGTTTATGTACTAAAAAATTATGAAAAGGTGTATAATTTGCAAGAAAATTTCCAAAAAAGGAAATGGGAGCTTTTTTATTGTCCCCACAGATGAGAGGAGACGACGAAAGTGGATGGAGGCTTGCAAGATGCAACTCCCGGCACCTGCTTATGTGTGTATGGACCATTTCTCTCCATCAAATTTTATTAAAAGCGGTCGGTGTTTGAACTTGATATATGATGCTGTTCCTTCCGTTCAACCAATGTAAGTATATTCTACTTTTTCGTTTTCCAATTGGTAATTTATCAATTTTGCATCCCAATAAGTACTCGAAAAATAAAAATTCAATTCAATTTAATTATAATTCAACTTTAATTCCAGTTGTGTCTTTACGTTAAAGTAAAATTAAAAAAATCTTCTAACTTTTATTCTTGTCAAACAAAAAATAAAAATTATTCAACAATATATTCAAAATAGTAATAATTTACTACAAAATTTTTTAAGAACACATAAAATTTTATTGTCCTGACTCATACAATCTCCCTACATTCAATTGCAATAAAAGGAGACACCCAATGTAAAGCAAAATTAATAATATTGACCATTTCATTCAAGACATAGACAATTGTACATATGCGTATTGCTGTTTTTATGGGAGTTTCAAGTCCATGGATGGTTTAATTGTATGTCCGAAGAAGAAGTTATGGTGAAAAAGTTTTAGTTTCATATGTGTTTTTAATTTTGTAACATTGACCTTTCTTAATTATTTATAATAACATTTTTAGCGTTACATATTTTCTACAGAACATTAATATATAAAGATAAAGAAGATTGACAATTTATGTTGTCCATTCTAGATGGATCGGATAATAAACCATCAAAAGAAAATTATTCACAATGTACAATATTGATACTACGGCTTGTTTATTCATACAATGCTGGCGATATTTTATAGTTTTCATTTACTCTATGAGGACTTTAAATTGGACGATATTATGCATGCACATTTGTTGCCATTAGCCAAGGTGAGCCAAGCAAAGTTAGCCAGCAATTTAATTTCAAATGAATATTATAAAATATTTGGTTTTATTTTCCTTAATTAGTTTCTGCATCAATTGGCCTACGTAATGCAATTACAATCTTATACTTTTCGTCATGCTATGGATTTTCCTTTGCTGGTGAAAAATTGTTCCAAGACTTGTATTTTAACCGAACAGCATGGTTCTCAAATGTCTTACAAGGAACTTTCACAGGTGCAAGCTCCTAGTGTTTTTAACCAACTGAATGCATTGCCGTATAATTATGTGGAAGGTAATAATAATAATTGTACTTTTGCTACACTAAGGGGGTTATTTCGTAAATCCTTTGCGTTGAACGCATCACCTACACTTCACATTCAAAAGTGAACACTTTATCATACGGAGCTACTCGATCGCGTATTAGGTGAAATCTGTATTCCAACTTTATTGATACATTGGAGCACCGTCACCGAGTTCTATCGATATTACAATGGAGTGACTTTAGCTATGTATGTATATGAAGATTGTGTAATGTTATCCAATCGCCATTCAGCTACAAAATCTGGATAAAATTCATATATGGATATAAGTGCTCTAATTTCAGAGAATGAGTTTCATTGTAGTATCAATAGAAATATATACCAATTTGCGTCCTTTCCCGTACGAGGTCGAGTAGCTTCAATATCACAACTTTTCCATAAAGATAGCTGTTACATGTACATAATTTATTCAATAAAATTTCAAAGCGAACGCCTGAATAAATTAGGTGTTCGATTTGAAGTTTCAAGTGTGTATTTTTCAGGTGATGCGTTTTATAAAATATAATTTTTTATACATTTTTCACAAATAACGAAGCACTTGTTTCAACGCAAACAATCACCTGCCATAATGAAGTGTTTTACAAAATACAAATTTAAAAATTGATAGGTGAAGTGAGGCGTAGGGATTTACGAAATTATGCCCTAAATAAAAGTTCAAATTATTCGCAAAATATGAACATAGTCACGGAAGACTCCTTATCGGCTCGTTGTCCACCCTCTAAAAGTGGCATATCACAAATGGAAGGTGCTTTAGATGATGGCATGGATAATATAGGTACCAAATTCTTAAGTCTACGTTATCCGGATGATATGCGCATAACAGATAGATATTACACAATCGCCTGGAACTTCTGATCATGAATTTATTGAGGAGCAAGAAAAACAATTATTTACATTGTGCACTCGTACCATGACTTTACCTTTGGGTAGAGGAGGTATGTTTACTTTAAGAACCAACGGAATCAATGCCAATACCAAAACTATGTCTAACCAGCAAGAAACCTATTAAAGGAACCACTGTTGAAATGCAGCAAATTGAATTCCAGGCCAATATGAGTTTATGGCCAACATTTCATAATGGTGTAGCAGCTGGCCTGAAAATATGATCAAATGCACGGGATGTACCCTCCACCTGGATTGTTTACAATAAGCCAAAACGACCAGCCGAGAATAAGTGAATAAGTCCAGAAGTAGTTTCCATATTTCTTGGAGAAAAAATACTATATTTCTATTAAATGTATGTCAAACTTAAATAAATTGCTGACACATTTTTTATTTATTTGCATTTTTATTTATTCTTAAACTAAACTAATAAAATGTCTTTTACTAAAATATTATTTTTTTGTGTTGTTATCAAAGAAAATTTTTGTAAACAAAGATCATATGATTTTGACAGCAAAGACCTTAAACCAAAAACAAAATCGTTTGTGGTTTTTGTAAATGTTGTATTTGTTGTAGAACTGTCGCTACTTTATTAATTTACTTTGATGACATTCGTTAATTTTTATACCCTATACCACTTTAGTGGGGAGGGTATATTGGATTTATGCTGATGTTTGTAACATACAAAAATATTCGTCCACCTTAAAGTGTACCAATCGGCTTAGAATCGTTTTCTGAGTCGATTTGACCCTATTGAAAATGGTTAAAATCGGTCCATTATTTCACCTAGCCCCCATAGAACAGAACCCCCCGAAAAGGGCTTCTGAGCTCATAATTATGTTAAATATACAGATATATCGATAAAATACGACACAACTAAGTTTTATAGAAGTCTTGATGACCCTGCCAAATTTCATAAAGATCGGGCCCCATTTGACCCTAGCTCCCATACAAAGTCCCCTTCAGACAATAACTTGAATGTCCCAAATTAACTTATAAACACAAATAACGCGATGAAATTCAGCACAATAAAATATTATGTAAATATAAATATATTCACAAAACTTTATCGGGTTTGGTCCATATTTGCCCCTAGCCCCCCATAAATTGCTTAAATGTATCGGAACAAGGGAATATTGATGATAAATGCTTTATTATGAAAAATAAATCACATTTAATATTCATAACTGGTGTAGGGTATCATATGGTCGGCCACGCCCGACTATACTTTCTTACTTGTTTAGATTGAATATGATCATCAGAACTCAAAATTATGTTTGGACTAGAAAATTATTTTATGTTACAAACATTTTTGAAAATTATTAATAATAATTAATGTAATCTAAATACAAGTTGGTTTAGGTTAGATTAAATTAGAGGGCCGATATGGCTTTTCCTGGGGTGAATTGATGATATCTGAGACCACAGTGTCCTGCGAGTATTCTGAGATCACTTTTGTTAAACCATAGCAACTTTTGGGATTTTCCCCTTGATAGCGTCATTTAGCGATTTGTCTGTCTAAGCCCTGTTGTAACTTTCCAGTGTCAAGCAAATTTCGATATGAAATTTGCTGTGGGATACCTAAGAATGGTCCAGTCCCTATAAGTGGGCAATAAGTGCCTATTTGCAAAGCAATCCGCCCGTTCGTTGCTAGAATGACCATCATGGCCGGGAATAAAGTGTGAATTTGTTATTTTTACCACGTTCGTTCAATGATGTGACATGGTCCATTACAACACCCGCCTAACTTTATAAGATAGTAAGGCCTTGAGCGCTGCTTAGCTGTAAATTATGTAAATTCTCAGACCCTTTATCCTTTTCCTCACGCACTCCCTAGCACATATGAAGATGGCTTAGATTTCCGCCTGAAAGATTGAAGGATATATTCCCATGGTCATTGCCTTCAAAAAATGTTTAAAGCAATTAAAAAACACCCAAAAATATTGGTCCTAATGTATACCAATCGGCTCAGAATCACTTTCTGAGTGGATGTGCGCACTCTAAAAGACCCAATTTTCAAAATAATTTGATGACATTTGGCATAAACACTTATATCATGATGATATTCAGCATAGATAACTAACCTAAATCCCTCTACCAAAATTTTAAGGATAGGACATATAGAAAATCCCTTTTTTGTCTTTTTTTATTAAAAAATAATCAACATTTTTAACATAATCACTGGTGTAGGGTATCATATCGTCGGCCATGCCCGTCTATAAATTCTTACTTGTCTTTATAAATATTAATTAAACAAAGAGTGAAGAGAACATAAGAAATAAAATTTGCAGAAAAAAAATTAAAATTGGTTGTAGCCCATTCAGACCGATTTGAAATATATGGGAAATAACTAAATTTCGAGTAGATTTCTAACGAAATTACAAGACATATTAAATGTATTATTTAAATGAATGTATTTATATGTAATTTTTCTAAATACCGAATTATTTCTATAATATTTGTTAATAGTCTATATTCTAGTCTAAAATGTCCTTTAAGATTAGCTTATTTTTCTAAAAAAAACTGAACTTTTATACATTCAGTATAAATATAAATAAAAATCAGATTATATTTTTTTCTAATCTCTTTAATGTAAACTTTTAATATAAATACATATGTAGGTCCTTTAATAATAAGTTTTCCCTATCCTGACTCCACGGTATTTTCACAAAGTATACAGAGATGTCACTTTTGACATTTCAAAAAGTCTAAAATCAGCTTCCCAATATGCACTCAAATATTACAAATTTTGATTTTAAAATTGTTTGGTGAGAAGGAAATACAATTAAAACATCATTGAAATCGTTATGTGCGAAATAGAGGGAAATTGTTTTTTGCTCGTGGCGCCTCCGTATAACCTGTGGTGTTTTTGTTTTCGTAGAATTTTTATAATGACGGGTAAAGTCAGTGTGACCAGGTCTCAAAAAATGTTGCGGCTAAATCCCATCCAAAATAATGCTGGAAAAAATGCTAAATTAATTTTAAAATGCCAAAAAAAAAATGCTAAAATTTTTTAAGTGTTTTTATGAACAATTCATATTAATTTGTAACTGAAATTCATTAGTTGTGTTTTGTTGCTAACGTTCAAAGGCAATTTCATATAAATTTAAAATTTATAAACGTTAGGAGTTAACGTGTAAAATTATACAACAAAGAATAATAAGAAGTTGGACTATGACATTGTTTTACAACAATAACATTTCCTTCTCTTCACAGACGAGTTCTGTGTAAATTCAACACACTTGTGAGAACTCAATTCTCTCACAATACTTCAAAACTTTTTCGCTAAAATACCGGGATAATAGGACTTGAACGACGTTTTTTCACGAACACATAACTATTTTTTAATTTTTTACACAATTTTATCGCATTTAACAATCTGAAATATTTTTATTTTTCACAAACTAAAAAAAATGTTTTTTTAATTTTTTTGACAATTAATTTTTGTGTGTTGAAATTAAAATTGACAAAACAAAGTTGTATATTTTGGTATTGAAAATGAAAAAATATTTAAAATAAACTTATTTTTTTTGCAAAAAAAGATATTTTAAGTCCGAAAAATATATTTATTAAATGTTTAATGATTAGATGTGGGCAAAATAAATTAAAAAATCTGCGAATGTAGAAATTTAAATGTTATTTATTTTTCCTAAAATTTTTATGTACGATTTTATGCAAGTATGTATGTTTGGAAAGTGTGGTGAAAGTGGTTGGAGCTTCAATACTAATACAAAAATTCTACCAATACATACTTAGAGTTAGGTACCGAATGACAACTCCTTTACGTACCAACTGACAAGCCCCAATTTCTTTATATTCTTTGTTATACAAGTTAATTTTAACGTCGATAAAAGTGCTACCAATTCAAAAATAAAAATACAAATATTAATGTGTTTATGTCAAACAATAAAAAAATATTTTAAAATAAAATTTAAATCAAAAAAAATATCAAATAAAAAAACCTTTTTTAAGAAAATGTAAATAATTTCAAGTTTTAGCAGATTTCTTCTGTGGAGTGATGCCAAGTCAGGTAATGTTCGTTTTGTTGCTAACTTTAAGCGTTAACACTCATTGATAGCAACAAAACACAACTATTGTAATTTATAACAAGTAAGAAAGTATATTCTGCCGGGGCTAGGTAAAATAAAGGACGGACTTTAACCATTTTTAAAAGGTTTTGTCATTGGATCAAAAAGCATACGTGCTTATTGTTTTTATAATTTCAACCTCTACCAGACGGTCAGACTTACATGGCTTAATCGATTCAGAAAATGATTCTTAACCGATTAGTATACTCAAACGTAGTATAGTGAAGTAGGGTAAAAAATTAAGTTCCGTGGTATTAAGATAAACGGAAATGCTAAAAATTTTTTCAAAATTTTTGTAAATTTAGCAATATGTAATGTCTCTAACTTTAAAATATTTCTGAATGCAAAAATTACATTAAAACTCTATTAATTACACTAGTTGCTCATGGTATAAAACCTATATGTGTTTTTGGAAGGAAAAGTATAATATATCTAGTTTTACTTTTTTATATAAACAATTTTATTTGTCTTCCTTAAAACACTTTAAAAATGGTTTTCATGTCACAAAAATATTGAAAATTCCGTTGAAATAATTTTAAATCTCGGTGAATAGATGTCAGGTTTATAACTCATACTTCCAAGATTTTTTCGGAAAAATATATATGAGAATGTATGAAAGTAAAGTATTCACTTGTATTGGCGTAATTTCAAGTTATTTATCTTTTTTTTTATTATTATTATTATTTATTAGTATTATTAATACTTTTAAGTTACAATTTTGGTTACAATTTGATTACATAATCATTAAATTAATTTTAGCTCTATAAAAGTACATTTGTATTATTTTTAACAAAATTCACACATTCTTTCCTAAATACATATTCATTTCTTTCTTTTTTTATATATGTTGGCATGGAGTTATATAGTTTAAGTCCTTTATAGAATAACGATAGCTACGCAGTTGTGTTATGTGCTGGCCGTAGTCTGAAGTCTTCTGCATTTCTCAGTCTATATGGTTGTATATCACCTACATAATTTAATTGTTCGCATAGATATCCTGGTGCTTTTCCGCTCTTCATTTTTTGTATAAATAGTATTGTATTTAACTCTAGTCTTTGCTTGATATTCATCCAGTTTAGTATATTTAGCATTAGTTGTATTGATGTATATCTGTTACATTTAAGTATTATTCTCATAGCCTTGTTTTGAAATTTTTGTAATCTTTCTAATTGTGTTGTTTTACAGCATGTATATATGATTGTGGAACCGTACTCGAAATGTGGTTTTACTATTGAATTATAAACATTAATTGATGTCATTGTTGATATATTCTTTCTTATTCGTTTGAAAAAACCGATTTTTTTG